CCCTAAACCCTTAAACCCTAGAAACCCTTAAACCCTTAAGCCCTAAACCCCAAGCCCTTAAACCCTAAACCCTTCAACCCTAAAACCCTAAAACCCTTAAGCCCCAAACCCTTCAACCCTAAAGCCCTAAACCCTAAAACCCTTAAACCCCAAACCGTTAAACCCCAAACCCTTCAACCCTAAAACCCTAAACCCTAAAACCCTAAACCCTAAACCCTAAACCCTGAAACCCTAAACCCTAAACCCTAGAGCCACTCTCTCAACGATACCAGACCTGCGAGTGTAGGGCAGACAATTCTGGACAAGCCCAGAGAGACCAAGACCCCTTAATTAAGGAATATAGCCTAAACCTTTAGGGTTTAGGGTTTAGGGACCCCTTAATTAAGAAATATAGCTTAAACCTTTAGTTTTTTTTTTTTTTTTAAGTTGGGGTCGACTCTTTAGGGTTTAGGGTTTAGGGTTTAAGGCCCCTATAAGTTAAGGTATATTCCTTCCTGAAGGGGTATTGGGCTCTCTAGCTTAAACCTTTAGGGTATAGGGTTTAGGGTCCCTATAAGTTAAGGGGGTTATTGGGCTCTCTGGGGGCAGGACTGTCGTGGGAGCGTGGGAGGCTTCTCGATGGGTGCATCGCTTAGAGTTTAGGGTTTGGGGTTTAGGGTTTGAGCACCACCCAACGCATCATCACTGAACACTAAGAAGCTAAGCTGTAAAGCCCAAACCCAAAAGCCGAAACCTGAACTTCCGCCCCAAGCTTTCCACCACAGCCTGCGCCCACAGCCTCCAAACCCAAAACCTCTCAACCCCCTGAACCCCAAAACCCTAAACCCTGAACCCCTAAAACCCTAAACCCTGAACCCTTAAAGCTGGGCCCGGCACCAGTGCAATCACCAGACCGTAGATGGTCAAGGACTCCATGAAAGCCAGGGACAGGAGCCTTAACATTTCAACGATCCGATGCTTATAGACTGCGTGGTTTACGAATTAGGGTATAGGGGTTAGGGGTTACGGTTTACATGCTTATAGACTGCAGGGTTTACGATTTAAACTTAGGGTATAGGGCTTCGGGGTTACGGTGTAGGGTGAGTTCAAGTGACTCTGGGTGTTTAAGGGCTGTTTTGCTTTGCTGTCTCTTCTGGGCCAACAGGATCGGGGTTTAGTTGGGTTTTGGGTTTCGGGTTTTGGTATGGTGACGGGATCAGAGCGTTTCTCGGGACTCGCTGCGTGGTACGTGGACAAGCCAACGCCGCTCTCACTTGTTGACCCCAGCCCACGACCGTGAATCCCAAACCCACATTCTCTAGGTTGCCCAGTAGCCCCTGAATAATCAAGGTACCTTTTTCTCTAAACCCTAAACCCTAAATTGGTTTTAATCAGGGGCCCCAGAAAGAAAAAGGCAGAAAGGGTACTACTGGGAACCTGGTTCCAGATTTAAATTTAGAGTTGAAAGCCTGAATGCCGCAACACTTCGCGAGACCGTTGCGGATTTCGTGGACATCGGCAGTTTAGGGTTTAGGAACCCTGACTTCTGCCAAGACAAGAAGACACGACTCCTTCCTACGATGATCCTTTTAAGATAGACTCCTATGCCTATGCCCTACGAGAACCTCAAGGGAGCAGAGGCCCGCTGCAATAACGGCCTTGCAGTTTGAGCTTAGGATTTGGGGTTTTAGGGTTTAGGGGTTTAGGGTTTAGGGGATTTAGGGTTTAGGGTTATTTAGGGCTCATAGGGTTTAGAGTTTGGGGAGTGACATCTGCATCTACACAAAGGCACGGATTGTAAATCAAGGTGCTCCACAAACCGCATAATTTCCACCAAGCAGCAACACACCCCGGAGATCATCCGCAACCTGGTGGTGTTGGATCATGTATATGTTGCAACCGTGCAACCTATATAATAAGAATAATAATACTGCTGCCGCTGCCGCCGCCCCTCCACCTGATTGCTGCTGCTGCGGGTAGTAATTCTACGTACGTACGCACTACGTGGTCCACACTACGTACTGGGTTCTGCCCTACTTACTTCAGTGCTACTGGCTCTTCCCACTTTTTCTTTCACACCACCTGCAAGCTGCACAAAACAGTAACTACGATGACGGCGACGACAAGACTGCAATTTCGCTTTCAACTTCGACTTCGACGACGACTCCGACCCGACCCTGCTACTCCTCTTCCTACTGCTACTACCACTGCTACTACCACTACCACTACCACTACCACTACCACTACCACTACCACTACCACTACCACTACTACTACTACTACTACTACTACGACGACGACGACTGCTACTACGACTACTACTACTACTACTACTACTACTACGACTACGACTACGACTACGACTACGACTACGACTACGACTACTACTACTACGACTACTACTACTACAACAACAACTACTAC